TTTGTACCAAAATGAAGCTTACAACGAGTAGAACAAAATCTTACCAACTTAAATCCAACCGAATCTCGCCGGAAAAACCCACGATAATCCGCCCAAACTTGAAATTCGTCAAACTGAACTTCCCGACGTCCAAAACACTTCGTTTTGCTTCTTTGAGCTTTGTGAAGACGTTTTAAATTTTCGTAAAAGCTTAAAAACTTCTAAAAACTTAATGATCACGATTGCATGAATAGTACCCAAATCGGAGCTCGCGAGAAACAATGGTTTTTCAAGGTTTCACGTCCAACCAAATGTATAGATCAACTCCTAAGCTTGCAAGGAGTTCAAAAACACCAACAATGATCTCGATCTGCAATTTGAAGGGTTGGTTTGAGGTTTGTCCGTACAATTGTACGAAAATGGAAGAATATCCGAGAGAAAAATGAGAGAAAGCCTACGCGAAAGGGTATGGGTGTGTGTGTGTGTGTGTGTGTGATGTCCAGCTGAGTCACCAACCAAAAACAAATCACCCATGACACCAACTAACGTCCAAGGGCAAAATCGTCATTCCACGCCATCGATACAAATATTTCGGGATGGGCTGTCACACAATTACTGCAGTGTTTGGCACCAATAATATAACGTTATTCATACTTTTTTCTCTTCATATAATATTGTATTATTAGTACAAAACGTTAGCCTCTATAAAACTTGCTATTTTAAGTTGTTCGATGTGTTTTGACTTGCTCCAAAACGAAAAAAGAAAAACAAATAGAAAAACGAGTGCAGGGTGGTGCGACGCGATGCCAGGAAGGCAGGTACTGGCGTACATACTCTCAATTTTAGGCAAACCAAAAACAACTTATATTTTGTTCTATCTTTTTATCTTATCTAATATTGAAAATATGTTGTGTGGTTCATGTTTTCTTTTATTCAAAAACAAAAATTTTGGTGATACATCAGATATTTCATCGAACCTACTAAAAAGGAATATAAAAATCGAAGGGCATGTTTTGTTCCATGGATGGAATTGAGTTGTAGGAATATGATTGGATCGGCAATGATTGGTTAGGTTTATAAGACAGGACTTGTAACCTATGTACAATAACAGGTTAGATAACGCACTCAAGTCTATTTTAATTAGTCACAACTATCATAACCAGCCTACCAAACAAACCCAATGTGGCATGAATGAGGTTTGGTTTTTGTTTATTTTAGACACAATGGTTTTTGTTTATTTTAGACACAATGAGGATGGAAAACATTAGAAAAATTAGAATTATATAAAATAAGGTATCAATCTTAATCTTAATCTTAATTTCTGATTATATCGTGAGCAGTGGAATACGAATCACACGATCATATTTTTTCAGAGGTGTGTTTCAACTTTCTTAGAAGTTGGGAGGAAGAAAGCAACCTGCAGAGCTAAATGTGGAGTGGCAGGCAAAGGACTCATGCATGGCTCCTTGGGTAGGGAGGGAACAAGGAGGATGGGAATTGTATGCGATAATGATGGACGGCTGCACGAACAATAAGTGATTTGCCAAACTTAGAAACAATGCGACACCGACGCATAAACAACACTTTAAAAAGTTGCGTGTGATTCGCACATGATCATTTTAAATTGTATTTTTGACATTTAAAAATCGACGCATTTTTTTAAAAATTATTAGTAAAGCACATGCAACTTTCTGAACGGGATGATAGACGCACTTGAGCTGTATATAATCCACGTTGCATTTTGTAGTAAAATTTAAAATCTAGGTTTCATTGGGATAGAATTTAGGTAAAGGCACTTAGATATGAACAACAATTTGAGGTCATGTTATACTTAATCCCTTATCATATTTTAGAAAGTTTTGTGTATAACGACATTCTTTATTAAACGACAGACGCATTACTTGTATTTTTAATATTATATTAATAACATGTTGGTATATTTTGTTAGCTATCACCAATTCGTAAGTCAAGAATGGAGTCAGAATTTTAGCCTAAAAGGAACACAAAAGTCTCAATACGAAATGCTCTCCTGATCTTACAAAAATTATTTTGCCGTGTCTCGTGTGGTGTGGAACTGACCACCGTCGTTTGAGTTTGGTATGGTGTTGTCTTCATCATCCTCTTCCTTAAACCTAAACCCTAAGCCTTTATGAATTTCTTCCTCTCTCTCCTTCCACTGATCCCTAGACCAGACTTCTCCTCAAAGTCCAAAAAAAAAAAAAAGGATTGCCTAACTTTGTAGGAGCCACCAACCTCCAATCAAACCGATAAAAGAAATCAAAGTAAAAATGTCGAATTGGGGTCCTAAGTTTAAGAAAAAACCTTGAAAATCATAAGTATAACACTAGACTTTTCTGCGTGAAAAAATGTCGGCGTAAGACCATCCTGGTACCTTCATGATTCCACCTCTGCTGTCAGTAACGGTATGAATACCATATATATGACATAACCTTTAATTTATTTTTTAACCTCATGGGTTCGTTGTCACAGTTTTTGCACTCCCTGCCGAGAAATGGGGTTTTCAATCAAATGGCCTTTGGCAAAGGGCCTAATCACGTTTAACTGGTTGATTCTCACCAAAATGGGCTAGGCTAACTGGCAACTGGATCTGTCCATGATGGCTTGGCTTCATTTTGTTTCCCAATTCTTTTCTCTCCTTCACGTTGCGTAATTTTAAGCATAACTGCCAAAAAAAAAAAAAAAAGAATACAACGAAAAATCAAATATACCACATTTATTAATTGAAGTGGCATAGCCATATCAGTTGCTAAAATAGAAAGTTAAGGAAAGAGGTCGGTTTACTGTGTACAAATAGCAATTATAACATTGCTGTCAATAAAATAAGTATCATGATATTTTGAATTCTTCAGTGCGACTTAAGCTTCGTTAATTTTGTAGAGAGAAGTTTCACCCTCTTTGAGATTAAGCTAAGATACTACAATTTCTAACAACTGACTTCAGTTTAGCATGTGTATAAATACAAAAATGATGAATTAACTTTAATAGATGCGACACGTCCCTTGCTTAATTAGGGCAAAAATGCACGGCTTCTCAGTTCCTAATCAAATTTCATTATTGTCGGATTCAAGAAGTTCTCCCTTTGGCAAGATGGAGTATGCTTGTCACTTTCCTTAGTTTCCCTTAGCTCCTTACCTTGTCTCATTCTTAAAGGCATTTCGTCAAGCATCTCGTTCTTTGAACATCCATACTCATCTGAGCCCTGCCCTGTATGTAAAGCTCATGCCAATGAAAGTTTTGCTTTTTGGTTCAAACTTGTAATCGTCTCTAGTCTCATGTGGTTTTGGGGTAAAAGGGGACCTAGTTTATTGGTCTTAGTCGTGTTCCAATTAGGTTTCTTTCCACTAATTTCTGCCAGATGGTTGGGTCCAAATGGCTACCTCATTGCATGCACTTCAAAATGCTTAACCTCTTTGGTCCCCTTCACTCCCTCAAACTTCGTATCAATCATAGCTACATACTCTGATATTAGACAAATTATCCAAAACACTTCTTTAATCTTATGAATTGTTAACTTAAATGTGATAGGAAAATTATCACTTGCTCACACTTGTAGACATGTAATGTCTCTATACTTCTCATGATGTATCGCATTTTGAACTTTCAACTTGTTGATTTTATACGAATTTGAACTTTTGTATAGAGAAATGACAACATATGAAATTTCGTAGAGTTTTAAATTCAATGTTTTTTTCATTAATCAACAATTGTCGTACATAAGACAACGACATTTGATACGGGGAAGACAAGCAATCGATGCATTGAATGAGCTCTCCAAACCTAAGAGCTGCATCATATAACTGATACCCGCAGGCTATCATCTAGATGCATTTTTCCATGTGAGAACGTACTCATGTAGTCAATTTCAACCTGCTAAGTAAGAACAGGGATAACTTTTGTAGCCTTCTGCAGTGGCTGCATGTGTTTGCTTGGAAACGTGGCGTGCCTCAATTCGGCAACTTTGTCAAAGATGTGGTTGGTCGTAACTTGTAGCTAAATAAGGCCCCAAATAAAATACTGTTATTCTAAAAGCAGACGGCTGAGGTAGCTCCATCAAAAGGAGGTCCAGTTTTAGGGTTTGCATTTGTCTTCTCCTTCAGTAGTCGTGGCCCTAATCGAGTCCCCAATGTTTAAATTCAAAACCCATGCCCTACCCAATTTTTTATTTGTCGGGGGACAGTTTTGCTAGGTTTTTTTTCCTTTGTTGGCATTCTGTTTTAACTTTTGGCATGTAATCTTCTTTTGCTCTATATGCCTTGTTGGGTGTGCAATTTGTATCTCTTGGTCAAAAATTCTGGGAGATTGTTTGTCCTTACAGAAAATCAAGTATTGGATTCTGTTGTTCTGCCTTTTTTTTTTGTCTTTTGGGTCTAAATTGTACAAAAGTTTGAACGAAAATTATAGTATGCTTTTGCATTTACACGCAGCGAATGAATTGAGAACTAAATATGCGACGAAGAATCGAAGATTTAAGGACTCTCAATGATGAAGAATTCTCATGTCTACTATACACGATGCATATATAGTAGAAAAAAAAATTCAACTTGAAAGTACTCAGATTTGTTTTTTTCGATGTTTTTAGTTCTTCCATGTTTTTAACGAGTTACCCTTCTCTATCTCATATTATGATTTACATGTAAAAAGCATAATACTAAAGGTCAAACAGCGAGAAAAACACAAAGAAAAAAATTATCAAATATCAGGAAATAGATTGATAATTTAGTATAGTCAACACTTCAACACTTGTCTTCTCTTTTAGGTCATCAAGATTCTTGAACAGAAACCCTAATGCAGCCTTAGAGAAACAAAGCGAGGTTGTAATCATCATGAAAATTGACTTAAAAACAGTAAAAAAGAAAAGGGACAAAGTAGAAAATATTGTTTGGAGGAAATGTCGTTTTCCTTTCACTTCCCTCCTAAATATGTCTAATTGAAGTTGAATAGTTCTTCAGTTAATCACTTTAGGAGTGTCGTTTTCAATAGGCCACAAGCTCGATATGCAATCAGCAACGAGAGCCCTTCCGGCAACTGAGTGCGCCGGAAGCCGTGGTAATCGCACCCACTAGAGAAGATGGCTTCGCACCCAAGCTCGAAGCCCTGGCGTAGCTTGAGGAAGCTCCGGCACCTGATGCCGTAAAAAACGCACCGTTGAGCAGCAAGTCTCCTTCCGACCTCCAGTTCCAATTCTTCCATTCACTTTCGGGTGCATCCTCATGTTTGGTCACCTGCGTACAAAGTTTGTAACATATTAATTACAAGTTAAACACAAATTATAAAATTCAAATTAAATTGTAACATTTTTCTTATGTGCATAATTGGTTTTCACCTCTTTGCTGGATCTGATATCTGGTGCAGCAAATCTGTTCCCTTGGCTATTGATTGTAGGGTCTGCACTCCCACCAATGGCATACATCTCCCAATGGGTGTAGTCATTGTTCACCACATGGAAATATCCATGCCTACATCTGCAAATGTAAATCAAAAGGTTAATTATTCACAAACAATCCTCGAAGCTCTATGTCATAATCAAAAGCACTTAAATCACCGTTTTTTAGAAGAAGACTTTTGCGCCCAGTTGTTAATGTACAACAAACAATTTATTCTTTTACTGTTTTTACTAACATTATCAGCGGCCAGCAAGACTAATACTAATTAAGGATGAAGTAAAAATTTTAAAAGCATGAAAGCCATGGACCACCAACCTATCTACTTTATGCAAATTAATTTAAAAAATTAATCTCCCACTAATTAAATTTTACTTTTTGTAATTACCTTGGCATTCTTTGGACCAAGCCTTCTCCAAAGTGATTGAACGCAATGGTGATTTGCATGTTCTTGTCCTTGGTATACGAATCGCTATGCCCCAAAAGCATCACCTTATCATGGTGCGTCATGTAATTGTTCGAAATCGTTATCGCAGTGGACCCATAAATCGCATCAACCAACCCATCTTTGCAGTTGGACAACGAGCAATGGTCCACCCACACGTGGCTCCCACCGAAGATCGACACGCCGTCGCCGTCCGATACGGTCCTCCACCCGAAGTGACTGGGGGAGCTCCTCACCATAGCGTTCCCACCCTGCTTGCAATCGTGTATGTGCAGTCCGTGGATAATAATGTTGGTCACGAACTGGATGGTGATGCATGGCCCACCGGCAATGTGTACGGACGCTCCCCGGCCGTCGATTGTCTTGAAGGAGTTCATGATCAGCTCCTCCTTCAGCTGGATGGTCATGTCGCGCTGGAAAATGATCCATAATGGCTCCTCTTGGATGACGGCGTGTCGTAGGGTTCCTGGCTTGGGGTTCACAGGGTCGTCGTCGCCGGAATCTGTGACCACGTAAATCTTCCCGTCTCTTCCACCTATGGCGTTCTTTCCGAACCCTATCGCACAATCTGCTAGGCTCTGCCTGTTCTTCTCCCAGTTCGGGTCGCACCGCCAGCAGTCGTCGATAGGGTTGCCCGTCCCGCATGACAAGTAGCCCAAGTTCCTCCTAGACACTGAGTCGCTAATATTCCTGCAACCACAAAAATGTGACACATTCTAATGAGTAACATTCTCTTATCTTACTTATGTTGACAGAATATAAATCTAGGGAATATATTTCGTAAATTATTCTTGTATCAAACATACATTGTCAGACTGTGAACCTGGGATGCACATTGGAAAAGGTCAGTGGTAATTCACAATCCGACAAGCTAACATTTTTCGATATGTATAAGGCTTACTTCTAGAACAAACACAAAATAATTAATTGTGGAGCCTTACCTTTGTACCTCTTGTACTACCAATTCAGGGTCTTGGAGATGAAGTGGCCTGGAGGAAATGAGGGTTGGGAAGAGGAGAGAGAGGAGGAGGAGAGAGAGAAGTGAGGGGCCTGAGGAGGGCCTTGCCATTTTTGGCATTTTTTTGAATGTGCAAGGCACTGAGGCAAGCAAAGAGAGAGAAGGTAGAGAGAGAGGAAGTGTGTTTGTGAGTGGAAAGAAGGGAGGGAGGGGGAGTATATATAAAGAGATTTTAAAGGGGCGGATAATTAGCATGATTAAATGAAACATGTGGGACCCAAACTGCTACGTGATTTCAGGTCTTTACGGATTCCAATTGGGTAGTTTTGGCCGTTAAGCAAGCCTTGAATAATGCTACAAAGGTCATCACATACCTTTAACAGAAACTAACCTTATCTGCTCTTCTGTTTTCTACTCATGTTCAGTGGTGAAGTAGGGTATGTTCGTTGTTACTCTTTTCTTTTTGTCAATGGGTTTTTTCTAGCATTAGATGTATACGCGCATGCATAACTAATATAATTTCCAGATGCATCAACGTTTTAAAGTCACCCACGTGAACGTGAGCAATTTTTGACTATTTAATGAAATAAGAGTCCTACAAACATCAACAATTCAAAGTCGCCAACACTCTCTTGTTTTGGATTCGAGACACGAAACTAATAAAAACATGAAAGATTTTCTGGTTGAAAACTTTGGGAGGAGGAGTGCCATTTGAATGTAGTGAGAGGTGTGTTGGACTGCCTTTTGTCTTTTCGGACCCTACTTTATATAAGTTAGTTCTACCACGATTCGGGGTGTGGGATAGCTTAGACTTCATTAAAATAAAAAAATAAAAAAAAGTCACAAACACAAGCATTTGTAGTTTCTAACAACTGAAGAGATGTGAGTTCAAAGTCTCAACAGTTCATAGTCGCCCACATATTTACTTATTAACAAGTTATGACCGTCAATGAGATGTGAGTCTTGCATGTACCAACGCGCGGCCCATACACAATAGAGGGACTGACCATAGAATTGATAGATCATTAGATCTTCTATGGGTCTATATTTGCAAATCTTTAAGGTAATTTTGGTAAAACAGTTGTGCTTTTCTCATAAGACTATATGAACCCCCACCACAGCTATGCGTATTGAAAACACCTGCTTTTGGTTATTAATTTCTCCGCTGCATGCTGTATTTATTTCGCATAACATCAACTTAAGCTGGTAGAGTAGGTTTTACTCTTTGAGACGATACACAATTTAAGGTAAGACCTTTATGCATTTCATTTTCTTTTGAATTATTAAATCATTGTCACATTTCACGTGGCCATTGACAGTGACACAAGCTATGGACGGAGTAGGATTTTCTCCTCTTCAAATTTCTCCCTCTTTCAATCCCTTCTCCTCCAATCCTTTATTATTTGAACGGTCACGATTAAGTCATGTCAATACTTGATGTTGATTTCTTTATAAAGAGAGAAAGAAAAAGAGAAAGGTGAAAGAGGAGGGAACTGGAGCCGAAGGAATATGAAGAGGAGAGAATCGTACTCCGACATAGACAACCAAATATGGTGGAAAAAATAAGTGAAAATGGAGAATATATAGACATTGTTAATTAGCAGTATGCTTGCCACTTTATTTGCATATTTTTGGCGGATTTTATGGCCCCTAAAATTGACTTATATGCAATGGGTTTGAACAAACTACTTTTCAATTTTAATTTTTATGAATATATTATTTTTAGCTTTAAAAACGAAATGCTATGAGTTTCGAGCTAGCAGACATGATGAACATAAAAAGAAGACCAATGTTTTAGGTACACTAAGGACTAATTAGTACTCTAGCTAGGCGTGACAAATTCAAAGATTCAGTAATGATTCATATATATTTATATAGTTTGATGGGTTTTTTTTCATCCCTTTTGAGTATTTTCTACATCTCATGCAAATAATATAATCCCTATACAATCGTTATCTCTCGAGAATATACTATTAGCTCGTTTGGAAGTGCTCTTGAAATAACTGAAAGCATCAGTTATGTGCTTCTTCTATGAAGTACTTTAGGTGCTTTTCTAAAATTTACTTGCATTTTTTTATTAAAGATTGGTTTCAAAAATATTTTTATTAAAAACATTTTCAGTCATTTTAAAAGAAATTCATAACGAATTCTATAATTGTGAAGCTTTTGCATTAGTACATCTTGTGTAAGTATTACCTCCGTAAATGATATGAATAATTAAGTAATGTGATCATTTTCTTTGTAATTTAGTGATGCAATCATTTTCTTTACACGAAGATATTCTAAACTACTCAAATATATACAGATGAAGATTTGAACTACTCTAGCCAACTGACTTGATTTATATCAACAAAATACGATTCTTAGAACCGATTCTTATGCGATCCTAAAATGAGCTGGAACAATTTCGGAAAACGACTACATTTCTTCAGAGACTCGACAAATGATCGGGTGAAAATGATTAGAAAATTGTAACGCATATAGTTTTACCGTATCATATTTTTTATTATTTACTTTCCAATTTGATAATCGGACAAGGCACTTAAAAATGTGACACAATTGTGATGCATTCAAGAGCAAGCAACGCCAAAAATTCTTGACAACCATATGAAATCTGTTATTTCTGAATTTAATTCAAGCAAGCAAGCAATTAATTAGACCTAAAAATACTCGTGACAGAAGCACATGCATGTGCCCACAAAATCAAACCCCCTAAACCCCAAGTAGGCCCAACATATCATCCTTCCCCCAATTTTTCTCCATTAAAATTTCTTAGCCGCAAACTTCGCCGGAATTGTTCAAAAACGTGGCCCACCTGCTGACATGGCACATCGGTAACCGTCTCAGAAGCCACGTGTTTGAAAGAACAATAGTGTCGGTCCAATTTGCTCCCTCGGGCTGCCATGCAACGATTTTATTCCCTACCGACGATACGACTGTCGTCTCCATGAATCGTAGCCGTTAATTGTGAAGGGTGGGGACGGATCGAACTTTTTTTAAGGAAAAAGGTGCTGTGGAACGTTTCAGTTTAATAATATATTATTATGTGTAAAATTTTCTTTATACTATAATACATTATTAGACTAAATTGCTAGATGATAAGAAATCTGTTTTATATAAATTGCTCTCGATAAAAATGGAAATGAGAAGAGAAAGTGACAGAAATAAAAGGCATAGCAAGCATGAGCGAGTGGAGATTCACTCCGGACCTTTATGTTTGGAGTCCAAAGACACGGAGTCTTGGAACGTTGAAAAGAAAGAAAGAGAGATTCAGACACTTGATTTACGTGAGGTGGGTCAATGAGAACCGTATGAGGTCCGAATCTCTGAATCCGTCGACTCCGGATACAAAAATCCGAAGAAGATTACAATTCAGCATGAGCAAAGGCATGTGAGTGAAAATTATATGGCAACCGACACATGCATTTGAAACTTGGCGATCAGGTGAGAGCTGCCATTTGGCATATTTTTCTCAACCAATGGTTTCTTTGATCTGCACATGCTGGGAGCTTCCAACTTCACATCAAGCAATATTTTCTTCTTAATTTTGTTGGAGTTCGATTCTCCCTAATTGGCTGCCTAATTTGTGGGTTTCCCCCAGTCATCAAGTATGAAAGCTTTGTATGTGGTTCGTTGAGATTAAATGCTGTCTAACAATTGATAATCGTTTACGTAATTGTTCTTAATATGCCAATTTTACGAGTTAAAAAGTCAAATTTTGCACATAGGCTTTTTTGTTAGGATGCACCACCGACATTTTATTTGCATGAAGACTTGTAAGTTTGATTAGATTTTTTATTTTTTTATTTTTAACATAAGGGGATTACCCCAAAAACTAGCTCGACTTATTACAGATGGTTTGAGTCTTAGAGACTCCCATCATAACCGAGTTCTAATCCAATTAGAAGGATTCTCAAAATAATGGTACCTAAGATCCATATTATAGCTCCGATTGGCAATGACATCTGCTATCATGTTTTTCTCTTGGTAGACATGCACTAACTCACATTCGGCTATGTGTGTCATAAGTTGTCTACACTAATCAATGATGATAATTAGAAGATAAAATATTATTAATTAAACTAACCACTAAAGTTAAATCCATTTCCGTATATTTGTTTCCGACCTTGTATTGAATAAAGAAGCGGGAGGGCGTCGGACGAGAAATAAAAAGAAGTGGGCAGAATCTTTTCCCTACAAAAAATCTTACAAGATGGTGAGGATGGGATAAAGAGGGACCAACATGGCCACTAATCACCAAGCAAATTCATTAATCTAGGTTAATTAGAGAAACCATACCAATTATTAGAGATGTTGATCTAATTACGAGTACTTTAAACCATTGGTTTGACAGAAGAGGGAAACGGCAGAACCCTACCATGTTCATGTGGGGGCTATTTGGTGCTTCCATTTTAAGCCCTGATGTAAGCCTTGATATAAGCCTTTGATGTAAGCCTTGATACGAGCCTTTGATGGACCTTCCCACCCTACAAACTAGATAACATGAATGCTTCTTCAGCCAGCAGTTCAGTACCTGACTCATCAAACGCAATCCTATCAACTAATAAATTCAAAACAAGTGGTGGATGTAAGGTTCATGTACAAAAAGTTCCCGCGGATGCCTCCCGGTATAGAAAGGATAACGAGTTTTCTACTCCTCTCATCTGCGTGAGTGAATTGGCATTCAGATGTTATGAATAACATATCAATGATAGGCATACATCTAGCACTTCTACTTGACACCCATCGTAATGATAAACGGCTGAGCAAGTTTCCTACTCTTTTCTGCCATGCGTGATTCAGTAGTCAGATGTTATGAATCATATACCAATGATAGGCATATGTCAATGCACTTTCATCTGACAACTATCGTAATGATAAACGGCGTCAAAAAGGATGGTGAGTTTCCTACTCATCTTTTTCGCCATGAGTGAATCAGTAGTCAGATGTTATGAATCATATATCAATGATAGGCATACATCATTGCACTTCCACTTGACACCTATCGCAACGATAAACGGCTACAGAAAGGATAGCGAGTTTCCTACTCTTTTTTCCGCCATGAGTGAATCGGTAGTCATGTTATAAATCACATATCAATGATAGGCATGCATCATTGCACTTCCACTTTGACACCTATCATAATGATAAACGGCTACAAAGGACATCAAGTTTCCTACTCTTCATTTCCCCTATGAGTGAATCGATAGTCAGATGTTATGAATCACATATCAATGATAGGCATACATCATTGCACTTTCACTTGGCACCTATTATAATGATGAACGGCTCGTCTCGCTATGACCTTCTCTTGAGTTCTCAACATAAGTTTCGATTATCAGAATTCTAGTGAGGGAGGGAGAGAAAGTTTTGTGAAATATATCACATAATCATATAAAGTCACGTGACAAAGTCTCAAAACTATAATGTTTAAGTGTCCAGTTGCTAGACCTAGTCATATCAAACCAATGTCTTGTTAGCTACTTAACTGAGGCATAATTACCACTCACTTTAATCAATAGGGCATGAATCAATCAAATGTCAAAACCTCCACATGTTCAAATCATTACCAGCAATGCTAATCCTCTCTAGTTTTGTTCACTTTTTGGGTGTTTCTTATGCAGGTAGTGCTATTTACACACCCATTTTTACCTTCCATACAACATTGTTAATTTTTGTCGATTGATCTTCTTCAACTCATTCAATCTGACGGTCAAAAATTAGGATGGGTGTGTGAGAAATAAAAATGGACGTGTGGATAGCACCATCTTATACATCTACTTTTTTTCCCCCTTTTTTTCTTTCTTTTCCCCTTCCCAAATTGGATAGGTCTAGGTGTTTTGAAGTTTGAACACCAACAAAAGCAAAAATTATGCCGGTAGACCAGATTGGAATGGGCTTCATGAAGGCCTATATGTTCGAACATTATCTATATTTCTCCATGCATCAAAGATTCAAAATACCCAATTCAGAACCAAAATCTAAAGAACCAATTCTTGAATTTAGTAAAAGTAAATAGTATCCTATGATTTCGTTTGGTGTCTAGGATTGGAATGAAACAAATAACCATCTAAATTCACGGCATATTGAACGTAGGTGAGAATGAATTCTCATTTGATAGGCTTACAAGGGGATTAAGAACGAAGGAAACTTCTTCCGTCTAATCCTACCATTTCGGAGAGGATTGGAATTGATAAGTTCTCTTTTTGACTTCCTTGACGGTAGGTGAGAATGAATTCTCATTTGCTAGGATTACAAGGGGATTAAGAACGAAGGAAACTTCTTCGGTCTAATCCTACCATTTCGGAGAGGATTGAAATTGATAAGTTCTCTTTTTGACTTCCTTCAACATACCTTGAAAATAGTAACTTCTATATTCCAATCCTCTAAACCAAACGAGGCCAAAACTAACTAACAAACTACACATTCTTATAGTTCTAATTGCAATACATCTCTGTTCTCCTAAACATATACTTTATAAAAAAAAATTATGAACATAAATATCAACCAAACTCACTTCAATTTCAAATGCAACTAAACTGAGTCTAAAAGATAAGCAAGATAACCTGAGTAAGTAAATAAATACTCAACCATGAATTACCTAGGACCCAAAATGAGGACATAAGGCTAGCTACTACTAAAACCAACAACAAAAAGATATAGCCATGAGCGAAGCATGAGTTGTCAAAAAGGAAGATGATCAGAAACACACCAGAAAGAAGCTCCGCAAAATTTGGGAAGATCTCAAACATGAACTAAGTAGACATCTCCTAAAAACAACGAAATCAAACACACACAGGTAGTGCACTTGTTTTTTGGTGAGGTTTTTTTTTTTTTTGGTGTTTTTTTGGGGGTGGGGTGCTCACTGTATCTGCAACCAAGCTAGGGAGGATAACTCAATAATAACAAGCAAAATATATTTGATTCACCGGTTATACAAGGTAATACACATTCAGCTTTCCTGCTCAACTACTTGATCAAGGGATAACAACTTCGAATTTTGAAATCCCCATTTTTGTAGTTGTCTCATTGCACAGCACCTATCACTAGCTCCTACACTAAACAATAAATCCCACCATTTTAGGAAAATGGCAAGGATATTTGCCCATCTAGTTGACAGTTTATCATCTGGGAGCACCATCCAACCAAGCTAACTGCCAAACCAAATAGAATAACAGGATGTTATGATGTTAACTGTTATGATGGCAGATGGGATGTAGATGGGCGAGAATACAACTTTAAAGCCAAGAAAGATACACTATCATACAAGAAGACCTCCAAACAAATCAAACGTGTCTCTAATATTATGTGCTGTATTGAACTATGGAACAATTCCAAAGCACAACCGTGCCATGAAGTCAAGCATTTAGCCCAGCCTGTATCAGGGCAGCACAAAGCACAAAGCATCTTACTTCCCCTCATACTCTTAGAGTTTATATCGTCTCAAGAGGGAAAATATACAAACCCATTTCCTTTCTCTCATACCACAGGGGACTCAGTGGAACTTCTATTAAATGCAATGTTCTGTTGAACTGTTAGTAGACATAAGGCTCCCAACCCCAAGCACATTGATAAGTGCATTAATGTTTGACTAATATATGAGTGTCAAAAAACCAATTCAGCAAAACCAGAAAGCACCAAAAGGACCACTAAAGAAGGATACAGTAGGGAAACCAACATGAATGCTAGCTTTGGGCCACTAAATATAGCTTATAAGTGTAAGAAAGTCTAATATGCTATCAACGGAAGTAATCTTAACCTCAAGCACATAATCCAAAATGATGCACATTCATGTCATAAGATGTAAGTGTAGTCTAGGTATCTATGTGTAGGTACCTATCGTAATGTACCAACCTAGGAATGAACAAAACCTGAGAGAAATGCACGCATTAACAGTTGTGGGACTTTCTAATGATCTCATAGTATAAATCCACAAAACTGGTTTCAAAGTATAACTTGCATCTCAAACAATCATTAAATGCTGTATATCAAAGTTCAGAAAGATGAACAACAAAGAAAAAAAATCAAGAAACCTGGTGGGAGATTTGGATAATAACAGAGAGAGAAGTCAAATGCACGTGTTCTATCAGCAAGGTTATCTTTCATGTAACCTTATGATGACTACACTGCAAGTAAGAGAGTATGAAATTAGAACTTATTGACAAATTAGGTAACACCGAAACTGAAACTTGAAAATTAGCACATATAAGCCATATACATAATCATCTGTGAAGAAGCATGCATTCTTATCGTTAATGCACGACAATGCTATTCTTCAACCATACTAACATGAGCATTATACATTAACATGATTAACTACACGTTATCAACATTTATGCAAACCAAAATAAAGGAAGAAAATTTGATTAGTAAAATGAAATCGTTAATCCAAAAGTGTAATGAATCTTATTCTAAACTCAACAATGCTCACATTCTATAATTTATGCAAAACAAGCTGATCATTCCATTCAAATTTCCCAGGCAATGCATAATAACTTCTAAATGTAGAACCCTAACTGAGATTTCACAAAAATCTAAGCCTAAACCTCCTCACTACCACATCAAGCTCTGGACTTGCGGCGAAGACTCTTCCTGAGCTTCTTTAACTTATGCTTGTTCATCTTCTTCTTCCTCTTCTTCTTCACACTGTCAGCCCAAATCGTCCTTGCATCTTCGGACTCCACCTCGACCGCCTCGAAAACACCCAACCGCTCCAACCCAGCTGGGGAAATCGGATTTAAGCAAAACCCAAATGGGAAATTGGGGAAGATGGGAAAGGAGTTGGGAGATTCAGCATTGTGGAAGCTTGTGCGACCAAATTGAGGAACTGGGTCTTCTGCGCAATCGGATTTGGGCGAGCCTAGATGGCTGCGGTGGGAAATAAGAGAGGGTGTGGGTTTGGGGAAGAGATGGGTTCTGAGGGACACCGCTGTTCTCAGAGACGGTGCGTTTTTGGCGAGTTTGTGAACAAAGCTCGCCATCTCGGGGCGGAGAGAGGCGGTGAAATTGACGGATCAGAAACTGCTCCGTCGCGGAGTGACTCACCGTTGGGAGGATTTGAAAAGCTGGATTTGCTATGGCGTTTTTTATTATGCCGAAAAGGGTTTCATTTCGAAGTGGAGAATCGCGACCACACGGGCAGCGAGTCGCTAGAACAAGAAAGACGCGACGACGTCGTTTGGTGAACAGAATGTTGAGTAATGTTTTACAATATCCCCAAACTTAGTGCCATATTCCAATTTGACCCCTGGTTTTTTTATTCACTCTTTTTTGGCACTTGATATTCTGTTTGAAACTAATATACATACCAAGGAAAATTCAAACTTGTTGCATAGAAAGTACATTTACACTAGTCAATCTGACTAAGATGCTTTGGCCACAGGTGGAATTTTTGAATCGAAACCAAAAAGTGATTGAAATCTACCAATCCAGTTAGGTCGGTGTACCAAATTTTGGTTTGATTTTCTTACTTGAGGAGCCGTCTTAGTATTGGATTTGTCCCTTAGGATTTTTTTTGGAACAAATTTGTTTTAATTTATTTGTTGGATCATAGTCTTTTGAAACGTACCAATGTTTTATCTCACATTAGATTTGTGATCTCTAGTATTAAATTACAAATTATATTTATTTATTTGAGCGATAAAAATTTAACAAAAAAATTGTGATAAATTCAATGATCCGACTCAAATCCAAAGAAGGTGCTTAGTTCAGGGTTATTGCTCAAAGAATTTCTTTTGACTATAAACGACGCCGTCCCCTTCAAGTTAAAAAGAGCGCCAGCAACTCGGAACAAAAAAAAAAAAAAAAGCACAAGAGAAGAAAGAGCGCCTGATTCTCTCCCATGGAGGAACCCACATTTGAGCCTGTAAAACCCTAATTTCTCATCCCAATTCGCACTCAGAAACGTTCGATTTCGCTTCCTAACATTTTGATTTGCATTTTTCAGGATCTAATTCACGCGATTTTCAAGATCGTCTGGTCCAGAAGAGCTATCGGTTTGAATTCCCCGCCAATTTTTGTTCCTTCTGCTCCGTCAATTTCTAACTTCTTCTTTCTCATATGACTTGTCCATTTCTGTTTCCATTTCCAGAGCGTCAAATGATCGAAGGCGCCGATGCGTTGGACGGCGAGGTACTAATTGTTCTTCCACATTTTCGTAAATTGATTGCTGTTAAATGTGGAAGTAATTTAGGGCAAGGAAGATTAGATTTCTGCTGTAGAAACCCTAATTTTGGGATTCACTGACATCAAACTTTGTTTTGTGCAGACCGGAGCTGGAACATCGAAGAAGAATCGCCCCACATCAGGTTTTAATCACATTATAGGTTTCACTATTTATATGGGATTTTTTATTTGTTTGTATGTAATGTGGTTTTTTATCGTTGATGCTTACTTTGTTCCGCGATTGTTATGCAGCCAATGGAAATGCCTTAAAATTGAGCTGTGAACTTCTCCGGAATTTTACCACAGGTTCACACAAACTTTTGGTGGCTTAGTTGAGATTGAATGTGGTCAGAAGTTTTGTGCGTTTATTGTGACATTTTGAGAAGCATTTTGTGTTGTGGCAGAGGCTGTGCAGCGTGCTGCTACAATTGCCGAAGCGGAGGGCGTGAGTAAAATTGAACCAACTCACTTGGAGCGGGTTCTCCCACAGTTGCTTTTGGATTTTTGAGGTATCCATGAGGACCCTAATCTTATTTTTTTTATTTGTTTTGCTACTTTTCTTTTGGTTTTCTTATGCTTTATAATTCCATTTGAATCCCTTACAATATGGATGCATTATTGGAAATTAATGGACTTTGATAAGTGGTGTAACTTGAGATAAGACAGCATTCATACGCTTGACCCAAAGGCGGCCCTCACATCAGCTTTAAAGTAGTTCCCACATAAACTGAAGTCTTGATATTTAGGTTTATGTTTCTCTGCTACCGTATGATTCACATGTCGAACCCAAGAAATTTCCATTTGATTTTCTTACTGTCCATGTAAAAAATTTATAGATATTAACAGGGCAAGTGGATTTTATACCTGTTGAAATTCACTCTGCTTAAATTAATTGTTCTTTTGTCCATGGTACATAAAAACATGTTTTCCTTGCTCAAGTGACCGGAGTTATATACTTTGCCTTTGAAATTGGAGTTTTATGTTTTGTATTCAATTGTCTCTGGCACCAATCACCATATGGTGAACTCAAGAATTTTGTATTTGGTTTTTGTTCATATTAAGGTAAACCTGTAGATAGTGATATCCATGCTGATTAGAATACTTTTCTTATGACGGAGAAATGAGATAAGGATCCAAAAGAAAAGGCTGAAAATGAACAAGGCAATGAAAAAACCCTAATGTGGGGAAGTTGATTAGTTGCTTTCTAAAAAATACTTTTCTTTTCTATAGGGATGGTGATGGAATGCCTTTACATGGGACCTTCATTTCTATGGAGCGCACTTAGACGGACTTTTATTTTCTTAGTGGAAGTTCTGTTTTGTTTTGAAGCATGAATCTGAGGAAGCATGTCTATTGATAATTTGACTGCCTGCGTTTTGCTTCAGGTTCCAAAATTTGGTGAACTAAAACAAGAGTATGGACGGTAATATTCTCGGAGGCATTGACAATAATGTTGTTTCTTTGGAACCAAACCTCGTATTAGATGTTTGTTTGCTGCTATGAACTCACTTTGTAATTTTTAAGCTAGAATCCTTGAATTTCTGCTGGAAATCTTGGGAGTGGGAGTTTAGGATATGCATGATCTTTGGTGTACTGTAAATCTTCGTTGAATTAGTATAAGTCTAAACGACAAATTGCCCCTCATTCCTCTCTTATTTCACTCACTTAACTAGCTCTGCTAGGTGACCGGAGACGGGATAGGTACAGATGAGCTCTGTGGAAGATAGGCAGGGGTAGAACTTTAAACAATGTCGGAATATCGTTTGAAGGGGAACACAATATTTTCTTATTCGTCGTGCTATTTTACATCATCACTTTCATTGAGAATACATATGAGATACAATTAATCTAGTAGGATTCCCATTGATAACAAACATGAGACATATAGTTGGATACCTAGTGCTTGATTTGAGACAGCATACACCTAACGTCCTTACTGTTAGGCCTCTCTTTCGGGTTATCCAGAGTGCAAAAGCAAGCAATCTTGAGAACCAGGAGCATTTGCTCCTCATATCCATTTCCCAACAGTTTCGGGTCGATTGCCTGCCTAGGGTTCTCCGAAGTCATGACGTTCCTCATCCACTTAACCAGACTCATCTCATTCGTGTTTTGGAAAAACTCATCGGATGGAAGCTTTCCCATCACCAGAACCCCCAACACCACCCCGAAACTGTATATATCACACCTGTCAGTGAACTTGAATGTCTGATGGTATTCTGGTGCTATATAGCCAACAGTTCCTGCCACATTCGAAGTTGAAATGTGAGTGTGAGCGTCCGGCATTGCTTTTGCAAGCCCGAAATCTGCAATCCGAGCTTCCATATCGTCATCCAGCAGGACGTTTGCGGGCTTGAGGTCTCTGTGAATGATGTGAGGGGTGTTGTCCATGTGAAGGTATTCAAGCCCTGAAGCCACTCCGAGAGCAATCTTATGCCGTGTAAGCCAATCCAACTCCCGTGTTCCTGCCGCAACTTGATTCAACATGTCTTGCAAGCTCCCGTTCTTCATGAACTCATAGACCAGGTAATGACAATCCGGTCGAGACACGTGGGCTAGCAGAGGAATAAGATTCCGGTGCCTAATTTTGCTCACGGTGTTGATCTCGGATCGGATTTGACGCATCTTCTTGTTCATAAGCTTACTTTCCTCGTCAGCGGTCAGTTCATCGGCATCTTTTGGGGGTTGAACTATCTTCTTTATTGCAATCATTTTGCCGTTGCTTCCCGGCAACTCGGCTTTATAAACCTCTCCACATCCACCCCTTCCTATGAGTTCCAAATTAACCAGGCCATCATCTTTTTCCAGGAAAGCCAAGTCCTCTTTCCTCTTGATCAGAGAACTGAAAATCGCAGGACCGCCATCTTTGCCGCCACCTTTTACCACGGCCAAGAGCAGCTTGAACAGCAGAGAAAAGATGAATCCGGATACACATCCGGCCAGTGCTCCGGCTAAAAACCCGAGCAGCCACCCTCCTACCTTCTTCTTGGTACTCTTCTTGTGCTTTTTTGTTGCAGATGGACCCGGAGCAAGAGCGTTAGATGGAGCTTGAGCATTACCAGAACCTGTGGAGTTGTGTTTTGTGGTTGAATTCTCAGCCAAAATGTAACGTTTTGGCACATCAGTTGCTGAAATCTCGACCCCTTTCATCGTTGGCACCGAGCCTTCGAGGAATTCGTTTCCAGCGAAGTTGAAAGACCGAAGATTGCGAAAGGAACGAATGGTAGCTGGGATTTTCCCGGTGAAGAAATTGTCAGCAATGGAAAGGCTTTCCAGGTTGGGAAAATGCTTGAGGAAGCTCAAATTCCCGGACAACTTGTTGGACGAAAGGTCGAGGGTTCGAAGGCGAATGAGGTTAGACAGCGCGGCAGGAACTTCCCCGGAAAACTGGTTGTCTCCGAGGTTGAGAATCTCAAGCTTTCGGCAGTCAACGATTTGAGATGGGATTTGGTCAACGAGTTTGTTGTGACCAAGAGAGATCTCTTTGAGCTCGGAGAGTCGCCCTATTGCCGGGCTCAGAAAGCCGTTGAGGCGGTGTGATTTGAAGACGAGCCGGGTGATTCGGAGGACGTAGGTGTTGTTGTCCGAGAGCCTGCGCTCGCAGAAGACACCGGGAGTGTTGCATGGAGCTGGTTGATTGATATGGAATTGGAAGCCCAGGGTTTTTTGGATGGTGGTGAGGGCTTGGAGGTCGGAAGGGTCGAGATTGAGTCTCGCGTGGATAAGGAGGAGGAGGGAGAGGAAGGTGAGGAGGCTGAGCTGGGCGGTGGTGCCGGATATGGCTGCCATTTGTGGCTGGAAATTTGTGTGTTTTTGGACTTTGAACTAGGACCAGTTCATACTTGTTGGTTGGCTCGGTTATTAGTTTTGTATTTTATAGAAGGAGGGTGTGGAATAATGGACGGAATGTGGAGCCCTCATTCGCGGTAGATTCAAATCTCCAATCAGACAAGTTTACTTTGACTAAATAATATCAATTAAATTATCTCGTTAATGCCGTTTTTAATTGGTTCTCACTTTTCCAGTGAGTCCACCCCCTTTTTCCCATAATCCAAGTTTGTAAAGTTCCTTTTTTGTTTTTTTTTAACAATAGGCGATGTTATTCGCATATCTTATTTTATCTTTTACACGCTCATTTTAATTTTTGATTGTCGGATCGAATGAGTTGAAGAATATCAAATGACGAAAATCATCAATGTGTGTGTGTGAGAGGTAAAAAGGAGTGCTGGATAACACTACTCTTTGAATTTTTTTTTTTATTAGCACTTCGTATATTGTTGAATACACATCATATAAATTTTATTATTAAATAACTTATGCACTCCACCTAAGTATATATATTCTTCTTCCCAGTAGATAGCAGACGATGCAGAAGAGCATTCGTAGTAGAGCAGCAGTGGTGATGCCTTGCAAAATTGACATCCAGTTTGGTTGATATCGAACAGAAAATTGAATCCAAGGCACTCACAACTTTTCCAATATGAATCCTTGCAATCACTAATGCAAAGACTTGTTGCAAAATCAAATTTTCTGGCAAATTCGATACTAAATTAAGTTACTCATTGGTGGCTTAACCAAACTCTCCCTTCTTTTAGTGTAAACTATATCGTCGTACTAATTTTTTTTTTTTTTGAATTATCTGGGAATATTAAATTAGAGGTGATTAGTCTAAAGGCAACATTATTAAGCTCAAATCTATCATCGATATGTCTGTAAGTTGGATTCACCGCCTGCTCATACAATATATAATATACATTTAAATAGTTGATCGTGGTGAAGAAGATGAGTTTAATGTGGGGTTTAAGTGGCGATTGTAGAGTGCATGTAGAAAGTGTGGCGGGCGAGGGAAATAGTGGAATGCATGTGGAATGTATTAAGATAATTATAATTTAAAAAGTAAATACGGAGAATATTAAATAAGTGGAGTGTAGTTAACAAAACGTAAGGAGTTAATAAAACAACTTGTTAATTGTAAGACTAATTCGTCAATGACTCATCTTTCAATCCACCCATAATAATAAAAGAGTTAAATGTATGTTCGGATCTGGGTGTAGTTATATTACTTAGAACGGATGTGCTTTTTTTATGTATTTACTAAGCATTAGGCTGCTGACCACTGTTATGATTAATCCTTAAGCATTTAAGAAATAAGAAATGACGCTTAGACCTACCTAGGCACCTAGATTTGCCTAGATGCCTAGGTCAGATTTTCACTCAGACAGAAAATAGATAACTTTCATTTTGCGTTTTATTTTATTCAATAAATTGTTAGAAACTTATTAGATACTTGGACGAACACTCATTATATGTTTGTTCCAATGTTTTCAATATATTCTAGTACTTTATAATTTATATGCCATTGTAGTTTGCATTTATACATTCGAAGACAATTATATATTTATTTAAGTACAAGTAGACATTTAGTTAGATATTATATAATAAAAGTAATTAAAACACAAAAATCACCTAGGCCCCACCTTAAGTCCTGTCTAGATAGACGTTAAAATCCTGTCCACCGTCGACTAGCGCCTAGCGCGTTTTAAAATCTCACATATATTTGAAATAGGTAACAAATTTCACCATTGTATTGGAACCCCATTATACACGGCAATAGACTGCCAATGGACTGCATATAGTCAAGCACTCAATATTTCGTAATTTCATGCCCCGTTCCTAGGGTTAAATAATTTTCTTGACTTGGAAGTTTCCAAGTCCACCCCCACTCAAATCTCCATCGGTCAAGTCAACACAAGGGGCAAGCCAAGTCTTTGGGACGTTTCTGGCCGTTAGATCCAAGATTATTTTTAAAAGGTTTCTTTCAAATAGCTATTTTGATATTGACTTTAGAGATATTAAGAATTAAAAGATTTTTTCGTTGAGAGATTTTTCGGTGTATCAAAAACACAGTTTGATATTTTAAATGTAATAATATAATTGGTTAGAAATATGAAAAAAAAATTTACAACTAGTTATATTGTAATACTTATAGCTCGTTTGGATGCGCTTTTAAAATGACTAAAAACGCTTTTGGTAAAAATATTTTTTGAAAACAATCCTTAGTAAAAATGCTTATAAATCTTGGAAGGAACTCAAAAACATTTTTTCTAAAAATGTTTTCAATCATTTTAAAATCACATCCAAACAAACTTTTAATATATCAGACCGTATTGCAGACATATTAAAAAAATTCCCTCCTTGCCATGGACAATTGGCCACCATCCCCTCCAAAGTCTCCCACTGGGGCCACTCCTCCAGTCCCAGTCAACACTCTTCTTCTCTTCTTAATTTCCAGTAAATTATTTGCTTATTGTTTTGTCCTCATATATTATCTGCAAGTTGGAGCCGAAATAAAATGAAGAAGAAACGAGGGAAGAAATAAAGTTTGGTCTTCTTAAATGAATAACGCGTGAATGAGCACTAGACCGTGTTTTGTGTGTAAAAACAAATAACTCATTGCGGCTAAACATTAAAAAATACACTTTTATTATATTTATCCACACTAGGGTTACTACTCAACCGGTTTGAAATCAGTGATGATCCTTACCAAAATCAAAACAAGAAACTTAAGTATTTTTTGTATGGTAATTTACGTTAACTTTGGTTTTTCATATATTTCGGTTTATTTTCGGTCTTTTTTTTAATTTTTTTATTTTCTGAAGATGGTTTTCATATATTTTGCATTTTTTTTCCTTCCAAGTCCGGTATTTCACATTTCTCAATTTATTTGGAGAATACAAGCAATTCTAACATACTAAACTCACTAGACAATATAATTAGAAGTTCATTTATTTGAGTAGAAAAACGAATCAATATGTAAAAGTTGCACCAATCGATTGAACACATACCAATTATAAAGCTAATTAGTGCTCTAGCTAGAGTTTTAGAGATGTGGATGGGGGTGCAACAACGACAGCATGGGAGATACAAAGAGGTTTAAAGAGAGGTCATTTAATACTACGGTCTAGTGGTATTCCTTTTCACTTTTAAGTGAGAGGTCTTAGATTTGATTCTCACCAAAGACAAATTTGAACCACATTATTGCTAGCCCATTGTGAGACTAAGCCCCCCTCCCCTTAGTGTCGATAATATTGTTTGTTAAAAAAAAAAAAAAAAAAGAGATAAGGGGCTTTGCCCGATGGAGACAACATAATGATTAGGGTTTTATTTTTTATTTTTATTTAAGTGATTTAGTTCGGTGTAAAAAAAAGTTTGATTGAGTTGGTTTTGATAAATAAGGGCAGTTTAAGAAATAATGTCGAATGTAAAGAGATAATGATAGATAAATAAAATACAATGCAAGTCTAAAAGTAAGTTGGCTGTAGAGATGCAAAATATGAGTTTGAATAAAATTTCTCATATTTATATAGCCGTACTATTGCTGAACGTTATAGTAACTAATATTTATGTCCTTGATAATTTAATAGGCTTTTCCGCTAAAAAAAGACTTTGAGATTGACATAACTTCTCACTTTGGCCATTGAGATTGAAAATTGATACAAGTGGTTTCTAAGTTTGTCCACCGTAAATCATTTTTGATATTTTCATGAAAAATCTATCAATATCATCTTTACATTGTCAAATAAACGACCACATTGATAGAGTTAAATGTACAAATAGGATTGTGACACTTGTAATCATATTAAGAGAGTTAGTTATAGTTAACAAGAATATGCAAGTGTAAGAAGGTTCTTGTATAAATACTCTCTAAGTGTAATACTGTATTCATTAAGAAAAGAAATAAGAAATATCTCTCTTTCACTTTACATTTCTCTCTCGACTTCTCTCTCTATAAACTCTAATGATGAACTGCTTCTTAGCTTACATGGTATCAATCGCCATGGCTGCTTCAGCTGTGTTTCTTCGATTCTTCGGCTGCTTCCGCTCTTCTCCTCAACTGTGATTCTTTCTATTTCTTGACGGTAGATTCTTGATGTGTTCTTTGATGGCTTCTGGTATTCTGTTTCTTCTTCTGTGATTTGTTTTTTTTTAGGGTTTCGGGATTTCTTGATCTTCTTGTATCTGTGCTACAAGCTTATGCACACCAGGTGTTTGTGATATTTCCTTTCTTGAATTTTCCTCTTAATTCTGCCAATATGGTTACTGCATCTCAATTACAAATTCTTCAGTCGCCTATTACTTCTCTTATTTCGACACTTTCCACATCTGTCAATGTTAAGCTTGATGATTCGAATTATCTCAATTGGCACTTTCAAATGCAATTATTGCTCGAAAGCAATGGCATTATGGGGTTTGTTGACGAATCAACACCCTGTCCTGCTCGCTTTGCATCTAGTTATGGCGACTCCGGTACAGAATCAGATGAATATACTGTTTGGAAACTACATGATTTCCAACTACATGATCGTGCACTTATGCAGCTTGTCACTGCCACATTGTCTCCCGTAGCCATGTCTTGTGCTATTGGTAGTTCTAGTTCTCGGGACTTTTGGAATAGGCTTAAGGAACAATTCTCTACTATTTCTAAGACCAGCATTTTTAAGATGAAGTCCAATCTTCATACAATTAAGAATGGGTCAGACTCTGTAACTCAATATTTGCAGAGAATCAAAGAAGCTAGGAATTATTTGTCTGCTGCTGGTGTGTTTCTTGCTGATGAAGATATTATTATTCTGGCTTTCAATGGTTTACCTCCGGAATATAATACATTTAGAACGGTTGTTCGAGGCAGAGAAAATGTTATGACCATTAAAGAATTCCGGTCTCAACTCTTTGTTGAAGAAACCATTGTAGACAGTCATTCTAATGTTCCTTTTCTTTCTGCGATGGTTGTCACTAATTCATCTGCTATGCAAAAAGGATCTGGTAGTGGTCATTCATATAGTCATATTGGGGGTCAGCAATATGGTGCATCTGGTGGCTTCAAGCCCTATGTCAACAAGAATAGAGGTAAAGGCAAGTTCAATGGAGGACAGAGATACTACACTCCTCGGCCAGTGTATCATACACAAACCCATGTCTTGCCTACACCTACTCCTGGTGTCCTTGGTTCATTTCCTAGTCAATTTGGGAATCCATCAGCACCCTCTTTGTAGACGTGTCAATTGTGTAATGCTCAAGGTCACACTGCCCCTTATTGTTCCAATAAATCGTCTGATAGACAACAATGTCAAATTTGTGGCAAGTTCAATCATGCAACTTGGTATTGTTTTTACAATGAAAAAAGGCTTTTTTATATGAGACCTCAGTTTTCTCAACGGGCAGGTGTTCCTCTGCAGGGTTACTCATACAATGTTCCTTATGTGTTGAATGGCTCTCAACTTTCTTTATTACAGGCAATGAATACTGTCTTTTCTCCACCATGTCAGCATTCACACATAGGGTCTGTCGCATCTACCTCTCAGTCACCACAGAGAATCAGGTACAAGGGCCCTTGCAGTAATGGACTATATCCTATCCACTCACTCTCTACCAGTTCATTTCTTTGTCCACCTTCTAAATCTTCCACTGTTGCTTATCTTGGAAAGCTTGTTAGTTCCAGCTTATGGCATACTCGGTTAGGACATCCATCCAATCATATAGTTTCCCTCCTACTTAAACAAGCCAATATCCCATGTAATAAGGATGTTGTTTCCATTGTCTGTCAAAGCTGTCTCGAGGGCAAATTTACAAAGTTACCTTTTCCTTCTACTCGTGTTAAGTCTGTCATACCATTTGAAATTGTTCACAGTGATCTTTGGGGTCCTGCACCATGTAATTCCATTGATGGTTATAAATACTATGTTACTCTCATTGATGAGTACACTCGTTTTGTTGGTTGTTTCCTATATACAATAAATCTGATTTCCATGATGTGTTTGTTACATTCTGTGCATTTGTCTCCACTCAGTTCTCATCTTCTGTGAAAATCCTTCAAACTGATTGGGGGGGGGGGTGAGTACATTAGTACTAAGGTCCAAACCTTTATGCAATCTAAAGGAATTGTACATCATAAATCTTGTCCCTATACACCTGAACAGAATGGGTTAGCTGAGAGGAAACATAGACATATCATTGAAACTACTGTCACATTGTTACAATATGCCAACCTTCATTCTCAATTCTGGACCTTTGCTTGTCAAACAACCATTTACTTAATTAATAGGATGCCAACACCAGTCTTACAAAATCAATCTCCATTTCAAGCTTTATACGGCCATAATCCTGTCCTTACTCATCTGAGGGTATTTGGTTGTTCTTGTTATCCTTTACTTCGACCCTACAACACATCCAAGCTTCAAGCTAAGACAACCAAATGTGTTTTTCTGGGGTATGCTTCTAAATATAAGGGGTATCTTTGTTATGAAGTGTTAAAATAGAGATTTATTGTTTCCTGTCATGTTGTCTTTGATGAGACCGAATTTCTTTATCTCAGTTTTCTTCAACTGTCCAAACATTCCAGTTCTTCACATATCTCGTTTCAGTCTTTATCTCTTACACCAGTCTCTAATAATCAGAATGTTTTGGTGTTGCCTATCCCTCGGGCTTCTTCCTCAATTTCTCCATCTGTTATTCAACCCCCCGAGTCTAGAGTTTCTGTCTCCAGTCTAGTTGTTCCCTCTCCATCCATTACTGCTCCACCCAGTGATACTTTTCAACTCCCTGCGGATCCTGTGTTTAGTCTAGCGAGTTTACAAGTGGTGTTACCTATTGCACTCTTGAATATGCATCCTATGCAGACCAGAAGTAAGAGTGGTATAGTCAAACCCAAGGCTTTCTTGAGTGCTTTGGTGACATCTGGATATGTTGATATGTCCCTTATTGAACCGGTTACCTATAAGTCTGCTATGAAATCGTCTGTGTGGTTGACTGCTATGAAGGAAGAGATTGATGCCCTTCATTCTTAAGGTACTTGGTCTCTAGTCTCACTTCCATCTCAGAAAAACTTAGTAGGTTGTAAATGGATCTTTAAAATCAAGAAGAATTATGATGGGTCTATTGCACGCCACAAAGCTCGGTTAGTTGCCAAGGGATTCAGTCAAGAGGAAGGCTTGGATTATGGCGAGACTTTGAGTCCTGTGGTTAAGCCTACCACAGTGAGACTAGTCTTGGCCTTAGCTGCTCAATTTCATTGGCCTTTAAGGCAACTTGATGTGAAAAATGCATTTTTGCATGGAATTCTGCAGGAAGAAGTTTACATGGCACAACCACCTGTGCATCCTCATTTCGTTTGCAAGTTACATAAATCCTTGTACGGGTTAAAGCAAGCCCCACGGGCCTGGAATGAGAGATTCACAACTTTCCTTCCTTCTCTAGGGTTCCACACAACATATTCTGATTCTTCTCTATTTGTGAAGCATGTTGGTTCTGAGATTGTGATCTTACTTCTTTATGTGGATGACATAATCTTAACTGGGAATGCTATAGCTGCTATACAACATGTCATTCAGTCTCTTACTACTGAATTTGATATCAAGGATTTGGGGACCCTTCATTATTTTTTGGGGATCCAAATATCTCGCATATCCACTAGGTTGTTTTTGTCCCAAACCAAGTACATTCAAGACCTGTTGCACAAGACAGAAATGAGTGATTGTAAACCTTGTGATACTCCATGTTTGCCATATAATCGATTGTTGAAGAATGATGGGGTTCTGTTTTTAGAACCAGGTACATACAGAAGTATAGTTGGTGCTCTGCAGTACCTCACTTTTACTCGCCCCGACATTGCATTCTCAGTCCATCAAGTGTCCCAGTTTATGCAACAACCTATGGTCTCTCACTACACTGCTGTCAAACGCATTTTGCGTTATTTGAAAGGCACATTGTCTTATGGTATTACGTATGCTGCTGGTGAAGTTGGTTTAAAGGCCTTTAGTGATGCTGACTGGGCTAGCAATCCTAATGACAGAAGATCTACCACCGGGTTAGTTGTTTTCTTGGGCTCCAATCCAATATCCTGGTCTTCTAAGAAACAACAAACGGTGTCTAGATCGTCCACTGAAGCAGAATATCGCGCCATGTCATCCACTACCGCTGAACTTGATTGGATTCAACAAATTCTTACATTCCTGAAAATTCAAATGTCTTGTGCTCCTGTGCTTTTCTGTGATAACTTGTCTGCAATTGCTCTTTCATTTAATCTGGTTCAACATCAAAAGACCAAGCATATTGAAGTTGATGTTCATTTTGTTCGAGAAAGGGTTGCTAAAAAGCAGTTGCTTGTGCAGTTTGTATCTTTTCGTGAACAGTTTGCAGACATCCTTACCAAAGGTCTCAGTGCACCACTCTTTCGCACTCACTGTAGCAATCTCATGCTTGGTATTTCTTCCAATCATGAGTTTGAGGGGAGATGATAGAGTTAAATGTACAAATAGGATTGTGACACTTGTAATCAGATTAAGAGAGTTAGTTATAGTTAGCAAGAATATGCAAGTGTAAGAAGGTTCTTGTATAAATACTCTCTAAGTGTAATACTGTATTTTCTTAATAAGAAATATCTCTCTCTCACTCTGCATTTCTCTCTCGACTTCTCTCTCTATAAACTCTAATGATGAACTGCTTCTTAGCTTACACACATGACCATTTTTTTAAGAACATTTTCATCAAAACCAGCCCTTCACTTGTTTTTTTTTTTCTTCACATTTTTCTCTCATCTCTCTTGTCTTTTGACCTTAGTCCTCATCTCTCTCATCGGAAGAGGATCCTCTCCGGATCCTCTTTGTAGGAATCTGGAGGATCAACCAATTGTGTCCGTTTATCATACATCGTGCGATCAATTTTCTTTAGATACTATTTATATTTAATTTCAAATAAAAATTTTAAAATAATTTTTAACCATAGGATGTACAATGAACGGACACGATTGATTGGTCATTTAGATCCCCACAAATAGAATCCAAATAAGATCCTATTCATGTCTCATCAATTTGTTCTTGTTAGCACATAGAGTAAAGAAAAAAGAGTACCACCAATGCAGCCTTGTAACTATTGAAAACAAATGATAATAACTTACAATTAGTCTCCCTATAAATACAAACCAACCACTACAATACCATTTACCAAGTCAAAATGCAAACTAAGGCAACCTATACAACGTATTAACAAAAACCCTACACCTTAGGACAAATTGATGAGAGAGATGTCTAAGGCAAAAAACACGAGAGAGATGAGAGAAAAAAAAGGCGAAAAGGCAAGTGGATGGATCGATTTTGACGAAAATACCCTTTAAAACTGGTCACGTGATCGCTCACGTGATTTTTTTAATGATGGTGTTGACAAATTTTTTACGGAATGATCAAAATGATTTATGGTGGATAACGTCAGGGAGCACTTATATCAATTTTCAATCTCAAAGACCAAAGTGAAGAGTTATGCCAATATCAAAGATAATTTTGGTTTTAAAACATAATTTAATATGCCTTTACAAGTAGAGCATAATGAATGGACAAAGAACACTACTTAGCTGCTGCAAATTCAACAGCAGCTCTTGCGTCAACCTGAACACAGAATAATTAAAATTGTAAATACAAATTAGACACGAGTTCATCGAGCTGATGCTGAATTTGCAGCAGCCAAGTAATATAGATAAACAACATACCCTTGAAGGCAAAAATGGCTAAACAAATAAACCTTACAGAAGTTGACCTAATTAGTGCGGTCCAACTTTTGTGCCTTGTCGGCTGATTGTCTTTTTCTAAAGAAAGAAAATTTACATATACTCATTTGTATTCTTATTCAGACCGTTTAACATAATTTAATTTCAGTCAGTTCTATAATTCTGTTTCTTTTTTAATTATATAAAAATTCGACCAGGCGTTCGGATTTTGATGAAATGGGAAATAGATTCCTGATCCAGATTCCGTCCGAACAAACATGGCTCATCATTGAATGAGAGTATCTTCAATGGAGACCTTAAAAGAATCCTTATCACCGTATAAACCTCACATTCAAGGGCAAAAGGCTTCCAATGAGTCCGAAAAGAAGTCACTGAAGTATATGATAGTATAAAGAATAGTTGGAATTCCTATAAAAATCCTCAAACGTAAGGGTGTGGATAGGGACTCTAAATGGTGGTACCCAGTTTGAAAATTTGGAAAAATGGGATGGGCTTCAACCCACGTGAATGCAAAAGCGCCAATGCGCACAACATCAGTGTAGATGCACGGAGGGAGATTCTCTGGCCTCTCATTTTTCGTGCTTTCTCGTGCCTTTTTGTTTTGTGTGGTCACGTTTAAGTCACGTTAACACTTTATATTATTTTTTATAGAGATAATAAGATAAAAAGGAATAGTAATATAAAATGTTGACGTGGCATAACCGTGACGACACAAATAAAAGGGCACGAGAAATGAGAGGGTAGAGAATCTGCCGCTGCAATGCACTTGCTATCTACGTTTTTTTTCTTGCTATGTCAAATCAACAGCTTGGATTGTTTCATACGATCTTCTTTTCCTTATCGTTGGAGATCCAACGTCTACTTTTCAAACTCCCAATTTTTTTTTCCATTTGTTTAGGATTTTACTATAGGGACTCCTTCATTGAAGCAAATATTTTTTAGGGACCCGTATATTCTTGTTGAGTTCCTAAAATGTCTTCAACAATGGTGGTAAAGACTCTATTTTAGGGTCTTCCATTAAAGATGCTCCGAGCTGAACCTAAAGGTTGGCACCTTAAAAAAATTATAGAGAATTAGATATCAGAGACACAGTAATTTAAGCACTGAAAAATCATTCAAGCAACATCTTCAACATTTAATTAGGGTTTATAGCAAAACCCAATTAGCAAAAGACCCAGCAGCCCCGGACTCGGTGCTTATGGAGTCCTAGCAATTTTCACAACTTCACACTAGCAAATTTATTTTTCATGCACACTAAAACATCTAGCTCTCTCATGAAAGAGCCATAATTAATGTAATAAAACATGATTAACAACAGCATTATCATGCATACGTTTAACTAAACATGTCTCAGTCGAGACAACAGCGGAACATGAAGAACTTCTCCATCTCGCGGCCGCACTCAGCGCACGCTATTCTGTCCGGTATGTCAGGACCGAACCCCGGGATGACCAAACGAGTGCAGTGCTGTGGCGTGTGACGGCGTCCGAGTTCATCTTGAAGTGTTGGGACGAAGCCTTTGTCCGCAGCTGTGGCTTTCCATGCATCAAAGTCATCCAAAGTGAGTAGAGTGAGGTGTCCATTGGCCCTAGCCCTCTCATTCGAGCCTCTCCACACCATTACCCAACCTTGGTCACTTCCGTCGTAGCTAAGCAATGTCATAACCTCCCTCAGTATGTTATCATTGTCTAGAGTCTTGTGGTGTTTCGCCTTTGAGCACCGCATGCTGTCCATTCGGGACCAGAAGAACCAGTTTGACGTGTAGTCAGGCCAGAATCGACTGAGGTTCTCTGTTTCGATGGTCTTGTTCACTTTCCTTATCCTCTCCTTGGTTGCGGTGCTTCTTCCTACGTAAACCAAGTCCAAGGAGATGCCAGCGAGTTTTGCCACATTTTTCGCCCTGTCTGTGAACTTTCGAATCCAATCCAAGTCGTCGCTTCCATACAAGCATACGAATCTCCCTTTTTCTATCTGACAAAGCAAAGCAAGTTCATGTTAGTTTTAAATCCCTTCAAAATGTTGGCTTAATGAGTAGATAGTTTTGAGTATGTGAGGATATTATATTATCAAACTGTCTAACATAAAGACGTTAACTTGTCAGATAATCTAACATGTTATGTTGTTAGATGATCAATATGAATAATGGAATATATGAATTCTTGCTGTAGTATTAACAAAGAAAATCTTGTGATAGGGAAGTACTTACCCCTTCTAGTATGTTTGGATCAATGCCGTCGGCAACGAGCTCGAGCCTCCAGCTCTCTGCATTCCACAGTTGTTGCTCTTTCTCATCAGTGAAAGGGAAGGCCACATTGCCCCAAATCCACAGCATGTGGATGGCATTCAGAGAGGACACCCTCCCTTGTGGATCCAATGCCACTACGATCATCTTCTTGTCAAATTGCCAATCATTTCTGATAAACTTTACAACCGGAGGTTCGATGATTAGAGGGTCGTAAACTGTGTACCACTGCATCTTTGACTTCAAGTCCTCGAATCTCAAGCGCTTCGCTTCATCCCAAACATTCCTGTCCACCATGGGGATCCAAACAAACTCGTACTCAACTTCCGGTCTCTTCTGCTTATCTTTGTAGATGTGATCGAGGATTAAAATCTCTTCGTTGCTCAGACTAAGATCCGTAATTAGCAGCAACACATGCCTTCTCCTCAGCACTTCAAGACCATGCTGTTTTTGCCAATGGAATGATTTATGAATAAATTTGACTGTTTGGTTGGTTGAAATGTAAGAATGGGAATACAAGTTATAAGTAGACATTTACCCTCGACTTGGTTGTGCCGATTTGGAGAGGTTGAATATCATCCCTCTGTGAAATCAGTGCACGTAAATTCCTCAGGTTATCAAGGTGGAGGCTTTGGAAGAGCCGTTTCAGAGTCTCATATTCTTCATCATATCTCTTCGCCACTGGATCCAACAGTAAATTTTGTTCAGTATTTTGTTACATTAAGTTGCAAGAGATACATGTCAATAGTTATAGAGGTGAAAATCCAAGAACCTACCAATGTATTGGCGACAATTTTCAAGTTCGTTCGTGAGGTGATCGTGTATGTTGTTCAGCTTATGAGCCAAGCTTGACAGTTCCCATACCTCTGTGGTTGATGCAACGTACCTACAAATGAGTGGAAAAGGAGCTGCAATTAGCTTAGGCATAGCTCGAGATGGATGCGATGAAATATGTTACCGAATGGCTTACTCGTGCCTACTGCCAGTAAGGATGGCAATATGGGAGGCACTAGCCAGAATGCCTCGAATGACCCAATACGCAGCAGCAGGAATATGCGCCAAGGCAATTGACAGCGGAGGTTTGTCTTCTGAAACGTACTGAGACTGCATACTGACCATATCACCGTACTCAACAATGCGCTTGGTGACGTTGAGAATCGCCTTGTTGAGGTTGTTGATTGCCTCAAGTTGAGGTTTTACCGAGTCAGCATGCTCTACAATGTCCGAGAGTTGCCTCAGGGTGGCCAGGGACTTGGCTAATGGATCGGTAGTGCAAAGCTGAACCACCAGCCAGAACTCTCCATAGTACACAGAATATGCAGCCAGGGTTATCACCACTTTTGCATCCCATGGGTAACTCGAAAGGGTCCTGAGTAACTCGATTGCACTCGCGTGCGCATCACCGCCGCCTGAGCATTGGCAAGTTATCTGCCATTACATGGATACACCGCGCTTACAGATTTGTATATTGCATAAAAGAATGTAATAGAAACAGA